TGAGCCTCAACCAAAACCAAAGGTCGCAAACACAAGTCCAAGAAAAAACCCGTGACTCAAACAAGGCTAGGAGGAGTGGAAATCTTCACGGCATTCCCCTGCCACATAGGCTGAACAGTCGTTCTCCCGGCAACGGGCCGCATATAAAATCCGCCCAAAAAAAGTTCAAGCCGGCTCCATGGACGCAACTGGATATGCCAACCACCTTCGAGTAACGAGGTGTTGGCTTTGGGGAGAGGCTCGCGAACGGGGCGATGCTGGAGGCTGTTTGAAACACCCTGGAGTGGCTAGCTTGGAGTGATTGATGCACCCCGGAAATGGTGTATTTACAGCGAGTGGGATTGGTCCATGTTTCGGTGGGTCTGGTGCATTTCATTTTTGTTAAATGCAGCCATTCACCAACCCGCCCAAGCAACCCACCCAGGCAACCCACCAACCCACCAACCAACAATGAAGTCTGATGTTGGTCTTGAAGCTCAGGTTTTGAGTCGATGAGTTGGACACGCCCAGCCTTCTGAGGTGTTCCTGACCCAGCTCTTCTGCAGATCCTATGTATAGCCCCTGATCATCAGCCTTGGGATTGGTGGCTTGGAACGAGAGTGCTTCCCCCGTTTGTGTTCCCCAAGGGCTGAATTCTCGCAAGCAGCCCTTGAGCAACCCAGGGGGTTCTTACACGTGCTCGTTTACGGAACCCCTTTTTTGTGCGGGGGGGGGGGTTGGTCCCAAGGGAAGCCACAAACGCGCCAAAGCCGCCGCCCATTTCCGGAACTCCCGTCCCCAGTCCCAGTCGTTCAGTCGTGGGCGCGGGGCCGGCAGGCGCCACCGCGGGTTCACCCTGGGCCGCAGCAGCAAGGCGGAGACGTTGCCCCGGTGGTCGTGGTCGCCCAAAGTGACCTGCCCGAAGTGGGGGGGCAGGTCGGCCGGCTGCCCCGGTGGTCAAAACGAAGGCATAGATCCTTATCTTCCACTGATTCTCTGCAAATGTCGTGTCCCACACATTCTTCTGCCGCAAAAGGTATTGCTGAGGTCTGCTGATCGGATCTCTAGAAGGCCGGCCCCCTAGCACGCACGACCTTTTCTTGATTTTGTGTTACATCCCGGCACGATGGCGTCAGTAAGTAATGAATACGCCGATATGGCCATGGGTCAAAACCCCGTACCAATCCCCACCAAAATAGACTAAAATGGGTGGTGCACCTATCCCAAAATGGTGCTATTGGTTTTGACCCACAGCCATATTGGGAAGGAAGGAAGCAAATGAAGGAAAGAAGGACGGAACTCTCCGGCCTGCCAAGGTATATCGGCCAGATTTCCCCGGCTGTAGACATTCTCCTCAGGGCCACATTCCCTGTGAGCCCGAAAGTACCAAGTTGACACGAGGCAGAGCTCACGGAAGTACAGCAATTTGAAGGTTGTCTACTCTTTACTGGGATTGCACTGAATGTTCAAACCAACCACAAAATGGTGTTCCAATCAGGGTAACTTTTCAGGGGGCCCCCCTGGACCCCCCAAATTCTTCGGTGTCAGCGGCACTTCGCTTTTCTCGTCGAGCCGAGTAGCAAAGGAGGTGTCGAACTGAGGATCATCAAGGTCCTTCACCTTGAAGCAGCACTCCACACAACTGAAGGAAAAAGCGGCTTCCAGGCTGCCCTTCGCCGGTTAGAGAGAATGGCCAGAGCCGCCCATTTTACCTTCGTTGCATACGAATGAATCGCCCAGCTTTTGGACCAAGGCGCGCCACGGATATAGAAGTTGTCCTTGCGATCCCGTCATCGCAAAGGTGGGAATTCCCCAAAACCCGCTTGGGGCTGCAAAACCCTCTCTGACTTTTGCCGCGAGCTGTGAGCTTCAAAAAGAGGTGGCCAGCGATTTCTGCACAAGCCAGATTTATCTGTCGGCCAAGGAACGCCCAATGACAAGATAAACTCTGGCCGCAATGAGGGGGCAAGCTTGTCCATGGCATCCCTAACCCGATTCCTTGGCTGTCGAGGATATCAAGCTCAGTCCCCGAAGGACTGCTTTGCAGTGGGAAGCTTCAAAATCGAGCACAGTGTGGTCCAAACAAAGCGATCTGCAAGTGCGCAAGGAAAAAGGCGGCAAAACAACTCGCCCTCCGGCCGAATCTTGGTCGGGATGCTGATTGTCCGCCGCGCAGCTTCCGTGCCCAATACCACCACCACGCTCCACTTTACCCTCCTGCAATCAGAACTTCCGGCATCCACGCCATTTCCCAGAACGGAGGCACGCACGGCTCTCGCTTGTTGGGCAGACCAACTCTTCGCACCTGGAAGGCCTTGTCACACCCGGCCACCCCGAAGTCCCCCACGGAGAAGAAATAGATCTTGCCCGGCGCCGGCACACCTCTCGCGTTTTTGTTTTTTTTTTGACTTGGCGTCCCAAGAGCTGGAAAAAAACAAACAAACAAAAAGGAAGGCTTCATAAACGAAATCTCGGGCTTGCAACCAAAAGGGAAACAGACTTGCAGGGGATTTTCGCCTGAGGCTCCGGATGACTCAACATGTTTAAGAGGGACCGAGAGCTCAAAGGCTCCGTTCTGTTCGGGCAATCAAAGGAGTCAAGTGAGCGCGCCCCATTTTGGGTTCTACCGTGAGAACTGTTTAGATAAGCCTAGCCCGCGTGAAACCGGTCGAACCTACCAAATGGGCAATGGTGCTCTTTCCCTTTGCTATGACTATGAAAGCCCAAGTTGGCTCTCGCTTTGACAGTGAGCAAATGCTGGCAAAGAGGCATGAAGAATCTCGTCTGCCCTGCCTTTGGCAATGTGCGAGCCGGCAGCTGCAGTGCTGAAGCTCACAAGAGCCTGCCTGCCAAATGATGTGAAGCATGACTCATCTAGTTGCAACTGCAAACCATGCTTGCGGGCCGGAGGGTACCCGTTGTGTTGTTGGTTTAAAGGGAAACCAGAAGGACACCAACCAGTTTGGGGGTTCATATTTTGAGATTCCCAAACCTGCATGATGTGCATTGCGCCACGCCTCGCGACTGACAGCGAAGCTATTGTTGTCGTTGCTATCACCACCAGGGAAAGTAGCGACATTCTCTTGACCTCGGTGTGCGCACCTGACGCAACTCAGTTGCTGCATCGATTTTTCAGAGCCCGTCGGAACTTCCGGCTCACCAATCCTAGCAACTTGCGGGAGAAAGTCTGGCCCGGCTTTGGGCGCCCGAAGTCTGAGTCTGTGGTGACCAAGACCCCGAGCTCAAACTCCAAGTCGTTGCGTGTGTTGAAACGCTGATCTGTAAAGGATCAACACCCACAATGCAGACTTGGCCAAAGCCTGCCTCCCTGTGCCCAATCAGAATACTTTGGACCCAAGGAAACACGGGTCCAATCATTGGCGTGCCATGGCGTACCTTCCTTGTCCAAGGTCAACATGTTGAACACCGGATTGTCCAAATGAGCAACTCTAAGCCAGAAAGCAATGACAGCGGTGAGCTCTGTGTCCTTTCTGTTGCGGCTGACAAAAACATAATCCAAGCTACCTGCATGTACTTTGCAAATGGCCACGGGTCAAAAGCCCGTACCCCCAAACATGCCAATCCCCACACCACAGCCAAATACCGAAGAAACCTCGACCAAACCACATCCTAGCAAGTCGCTCACCCAAGGCCCAATTCCCTCAAAGCCTTCCTCGCAAAGGGTTTTCTCGCCGGTCCGGCTCCCTTTGTTTTCCTTGAACAACCATCCCCTTAAAGTGGACCGATTCCTATTTTCTTGGCTGGAATTAGGATCCAAACAAAAAACTATAGCTTTTGCCTCGTTAGTGGAAAACGCAAAAGACCACCAAAAAAGGCAAGAAACAACAAACTGGGGGAGCTAATTCCGGGGAAGTTTTGAGACACACATAAACACACGTGGGCATGTTTTCTTCACTGACCCTTTGGTGGACGTCCAGGGATTCGCGTCCACCAACCACAAATGAGCTGTTAAAACTTCCATGGCCACCATCGCACACCGAGACGCGCAGCTCGTGATCTCCAAGCGCAGCTGCAGCAGCGTCTTGGCCGTCCGACGCGCCGCCATGGCGATCGGAAGGGTCGCTGGTTGTGGGATCCAAAGAAACACGGGGACTGTGACTGGCCCCGTGATTTTACCATAGTCGCCCCTAGTGGGTTAAAGGGAAACCTCCCCAGTTTCAGACTTTGATAACCAGAAATACCCAAAATAATGCCGGGTAAAACAGGCAACACCCCATGTAAGGGAGGCAGCCTTTGGTGGCTACGCAGTGCGTTGCGGAGTGGGAAAGCCGGCCGAATGGAAGCTGGCCACGGCTAAATGAACTAGCAAGGACTGGGGAAGACGTTGAGCGGGCAAAAATAACTTCGGTGTGAGACTCTGACACGAAAGCCTGTAAAGTGAGTCTGGAATACAGTGCCAAAGCTGCGCCGGACCAAGTCTTTTTCACTGCATGTCTGTATCTGCAGGTCTGGCACGGAACATTCCGTCAATAACCCCCATGAAAAATACCCACACGACAAAAAAGGAGGCTGTTCCACCCAACGTTTTGGGCTAGGGCCGTGATCTCCAACATGGAGGGTGGAGTTCCAACATTCACGCGATGCTCGCGGTGGAACACTTACTTGTTGGCTTGGTGCTAGCCGGTTCGGGAGCAATGGACTCATGCAACCAGATGCCCAAACGTTGAACCCAGGCCATCGGCCAGTTGCGTTGCCCAATCAGGGCAAGGACATGACCCAAGACTTGCAATTCGCCAGTGTGAAGCTTGCCAAAGCCCGTGCGCGTTCATGACTCTTGCGGTCAACAGCCAGCAGGCTCTATGCCCTGAATCCAGAACAACGGGCCACAGGTCAGGTCTACGAATCCAAGCGTCACAGGATCCCAAGTCAAATGATGCGCGCACTTCTCCGAGGGAGTGCCTTTCGCTTTTTGCCAACCCAGTCGCCCCTATCGCCCCTATCGCCCCTATCGTCGATTTTTGGGCAGGAGCATTACCTGAAATAGAAGTCGCTGACAGGTCCTGGAACTGCATCTTCTCTGGTCTGCGCGGAAGGCGGCGAAGGAGCCGCCGCACGGTTTGAAACCTCGGCTTCGGGCGGTTCAAGGGGGTTCGGCGGTGCGGGGTTTCGGGTGCAAGTACCTGAGAGCAGGTAGAAATAGGTGTGTTCAAAGGATAGAAGTGGTGTTTTCCCTCTAAAGGGGATACCCTCAAAAGGGTATTTTTATTAAGCAAAAAAATAAATGGCGATCCTTACATCACCTCAAAACCCGTAGGCAAGAGTTGAAGCATATCGCCTGAACCTCACACATGTCCGCCAGACTTGCATCGGTCTTGGCCGCGGCACGAAAAGTCCTGGCTCTGGTCATCCATCAGTGCCTGCTGCTCCATGCCCTCAGCACAGAGAGTGCCACAAACAAGCAGGCGTGAAGTAGACTCGTTCAGGCTAGCTTCAGAGATCTGCATCTGACTGCCAATACTCAAGAACAAGCCTAAAGGAAAACCTTTGAGCTTCCTTTTGGACTCTTGGAGGTGTGGTTTCGGGGTGTACACGTCCCGCAGAGTTGCCACAAAACGAAACGCCCCACACAGAGCAGCGCGACAAACCTAAGTGCCAGGCTGAATTGTCTGGCAGCCCTTTGGGGCTGCAATTTATGAATTCAGACTCAAAACGGGTGGCTTGTGGACATGCAAGATGGCCTTTGTGTGGGTTTCAATGTGGCAAGGGGGAGCGTCTCAATCAGCATAAATGCAAGGCAAAGACCCAAAGCGTTCCTTCAACTTAGGTGGCACAAGCCAGTGCAAGGGGATGGCTTGCTGGAACTGCAATGTGCACGGCGCCAATCACCCGTGATCCAAAACGGCTTGCGAGAAGCCTGCTGCAGTGACCGTCAGAACCCTCAATGGTCCATCAAATGATGCAATGTTCAGGGTTCAACGAGGCACACGCGGCTCATTTCCCGAGCGCGACCTTTTGGGCCGTCACAGCTTCACTCGACTCCGGGTCATGTTTTGTGCCAAGGTCAAAACCTTCTCAATTGGAACCCCTTTGAAGAAGTTGATGTCAATCCCTAACCCAAAAAAACATGTTTTGACCAATGCACCTCGATGTTTCAATGCCTCATTCTCCGTGCCCTTTGCGCGGATCTGGCACGGAAGTAGCCGAGGCGCTCAGAGAAGTGCCTCGTGAAGCCACTCAAAGGGCAAGAGCATCTTTGGACGCCCAAAATTTGGGACCACATTGATGTCCGGTATGGGGTGTGTGTCAACATCAGGGGCCTGGAGAAATGGTTTGGTGATTCTTTGGGTTTCCCTCAAAGCCAACCTGAAAAGGCTACCCTCACAAGAACACATATCCCATATAGTCGATTTGGGAGGGACATGCAGAAGTCTCTAAGTGTCCACCCTCTTGCACTTTTTTACATGGAACCCTCCCGTGCAGAGGTGCTCAAAAAGCGGCTTTCAGACCAAGAAGAAAAAGCAGCGCTGGTGTTTTGTTTTGGCTCAATTTGCCGGGGATTCGATTCTTGTCCTGAAGTTTTGCGTAAAGGAGCATGTGAAAAAAAAGTCTTAGCTGACATTGACATGCCTCAATTTATGTCAAGGAACATGTTCAAACCCAAGCAATTGAACATGTTCAAGGCTGGCAGGGCTGTTCTTGGAGACCGACAGGCAACGCGTCTGGAACTCTGAAACGAAGCCCAGATCTCAAAAGTTGAGCCCAGCAAAACGCCTGAGAAGCAGCCCAGTGCAACAAAACCATGATTGTGTTCCGGTTGATTTCCCTTTGAACCACACCCAAAAAGGCTACCCTGAAAGAAACGCAAACTCAAGTTGGATGAATAAGTCAAAGGCAAAACATCAATTGTGAGTTTCTTCATTTAGAGACAGACTCATTGTCCGGCCTTTGAGAAGCGAGCTCTCTGACTCAATGTGCATGCGCGCGATGAGCGTGCATTGCCTCAGACCACATGCCTGGGGCCTTTGGTTTCTCATTCCCGACAGACCCGACACGGTTCCAGGTCCTCAAGGCGGGGTAACATGGAGCTACCACCCTGTTGGTCTTTTCAAAGCGCTCCAGTTTTGATTGCCAGTCCTTGCAAAAGAAGAACAAGTGAGAGTGACACTGTCAGGCCGAACTGTTTTATGACTGCCCTTGGACACCATTTGCTCATAGCAGCACATGCTGGGAGTCAGGAAGACATCGAGGCTCAACAACAGAGCTTCCTAGTCCTTGGGCAACAAGAACCCTCGAATCAGCCCCACATCAATCCAAGCTGCATGCTTGCCAGACTTCGCAGTCTTTGTGCTGCCGCGGGGTTCAGCCTCCTTGCTGCTTTCCTTGGAAAGCTTCGCGTCCCTTTGCTTACCTGCTGTGGCTGCCGTGGCTGCCTTGGCTTCCGTGGCCGCCTTGGCTGCCGCTGCCTTGGCGGTCTTGGCAGCATCGGCTTTGGCTTCCTTTGTACTCTTGCCAGGCTTCGGGGCTTCAACAGTGTCCTTCGCCATGTCAGGCCCTGTCGCTTCTGCTTCAGCCTTCTTCTTTGCAACCTTGTGCGCTTTCTTGTGATGAGGTTCCTGCCACTGTGGACAACTGGAGCAAACCAAAATGCCAAACGATCGAGCGCGAGTCTTTCTTGTTTTGCGGGCATCGAGTCCAAAGAAGCGCAAGCGCTTGTCGATGATTCAACATTTTCCCGTCTAAACGGGAGCATCCATACCAGACCCGGACCCGACAGGGGGCCCCAAAATTCGACACCCTGCTATTCGACCCCCTCCTCCACCAGCGAGGCGCTGGACCGCCGCATCTGGCCCTGAAAAAGCACCAGTCATCAAACAAAACAGGTCAGTGTGGTAAGCAAAGCTGGCTGTCTCCTGCAAACTGGAGTCAAAGGAGAGAGCAGCATGCAGGAGAATAAACTTGAAAATGGAATCATGGTATCATGATGTATCATAGTACACTTCACTGGCTGTGAGACAAGTCACGAATCCAGATCTTGATGCGGACACAAATGCCGTAGTTGGCAGGAAGCTTGTTCCTCCAAGAGTATGCTACCAAATCAACCTTAGGTCCAGCCCCTTTGTGTCTGCAATGTCCAATACACGCTTGCGGCATGGCACAGTATCCAAAGGTACCTTGCTTCAAAGGCTGCATAACGCAAAAGAATCAGAAGGCATCATCTCCCCGTGGCTCCGCATGCGGAGCTGGCGGGGCTGCGAGCGGGGTCCCACACCCCGCCCCTGCGAGGGACTCCAGCCAATGCGTACATTCTTGCACGCGAATGCAATGCGGGTACGGGTGCGAGTGCGCGCGAGTGCACGTGCTTGCAAGTTCACCTGCCTGCTGTGCGTAGACATCAGGGTGCAACGGGCGCTGACTTGGGCTTGGTAGGGCGTGGGAGCGCGGCCGAATGTTCGCGCATGTGCGCAGATGTCGTGACGTGTCTGTGTGGTTTACGGCTGCAGCTGTTTCCTCACGCAACAATCGGTCCACCTCCCTTGCATATTCTCGGGAGTTGCACCAATTCCCGAGCCAACAGCGTAACCATGAGATTCAAAGTCGCCCTATTGCCCCATGGTCGACGCATGTCCCTCGGAAGTGCGCCTCCAACTGCTTCACCTTGTTCCTCAGCTCCAGCTCATCCTGGTGAGCAGTGCCCCCGCACGACTAACCTCCAACTTAGACGACACGAGACTCATCCCGGGTTTCGCGGGAGCCATTTCATTGGTCAAAGCTCATGGAGAATCGCGGCTCCCTTTTTTCGGAAGCCTCAGAACAGCGGCGTACCCCAGGAGTTCATAAGGCATGCTTTGGTCATGGTATTCCGTACGCCTGCATCTCGCTCTGCATGCGCTGTTGATCCCACTCCAGCCGAGCCTGCCATACCAGAATTGAATAAGTGATCTAAACCTGGGAGAGGGGTCTGCCCAAATTCATGTCTGTGAAAACTCAAGAGGACGGATGTCCACACCTATCTAACTGGTGCGACTGTCCCGTGTACATCTCTTAGCCGAAAGAGTTGGCCAAAGCTTGTGCCTCTTGCGTATGGTCACAACACCTGCGGGGCATGGCCATTGCCTTCAAAGCTGTCAATCCCAACATTCAAAGGCTGACAGCCACCCTTGCCAACCCCTGATCATGGCATCAAATGCTTTGAAAAGCCCGGCCAACCCCGAGCCACACCTTCCCTGGGCTGAAAAGGACCGCGGGGGTCGAAACCTAGTGAAAGCAGCCTACCCGGTTACCCAAACCATAGAGAAACAAAGCGGCCAAGATGAATTGCTTCCCCTGAAGCACATGGGACAAGTACCACGTAAGTCCCTTCGGCTTGGGATTTCTTTCGAGCTCATCCTTCTGATCCTTTTCCAAACGGACCAATTCCATGAATCCTCACCTGAGTCATTATCAAAACCCGCTGCAAAAATGGCTTACCCAGAACCAGGCAAAGGATTTAAAAGGCGGGTGCACCTATTTATGGTTGGGATTGTCCCTTTCTAACGTTTTGAGCACGTGGCTCACCTGAAAACCTAGGCCTTGAGCTCCGTGATCTGCTTGGCGCGGGCCATGAGCAGCTGGTCCTCGCTCTGCCGGTCCTCCTGGGTCTTCCTGGGTCGCTCTGCCGGGTCTGGACCAGTGCCCCAGCCAAAGGACCAGTCAGCTTCAGATAGAAAAACCGCCCATGCGGCCCATGCGGCTCTGGTGGCTAAGAGAGAGAGAGAGAGAGAAGCTCCCCCAAAGAGGAACTACGAAAAAGCGACCTCCGCAAACAGCCCTTGCCGTTCGCACATCCTCCACCGCACAAATCACGCACCGAAAGGCCTGCGCAATTTTGGTCCGAGGAGCTGGTTGGCCACGCGGGAGGCCAGAGTGCTCACCTTCAACTCCTCCACCTGAGAGAGATCAGTCACAAAGTCTTGGCCGAGCCCTTCCACGCGAGGCAGCTCCCGCCCATGTTGCTTGGCCCTCCAATGGATGTGAGCCAGGATACGGATTGCTTCCATGTCTCTACATTTGGGAGTTTGACAAGAACGGCTTCCTCTCACTGTCCTTGTCTTGAAGCTAGAAGGACAAGGGCAACATGGCCTGTGTGATTTAGATCAAAAAAGACTAAGCATTGACACTTGTTAGTAAACCCAAACAGCTCTAAACACGGTCAGAGAAGTCACATCTCGGGGACTGTTGCATTGCCAGCACGGGATTCCCCATACTTCCCGCGAAGCACCTAGAAAACTCACTGCAAGTTTGCCAAGGTGATACTCAAAACCAGAAAAAATGTGTACCGACCCCGGGTGAAACGACGCTGGAAAAGATCCGGCCTGGTGATCCTTACTTGCCCGGCGCTTCACTTCCAACAGCTTCGCCTGGCAAGCAGTTCCACGATTCAAGGCTTACCTAGAGAAGGAAAAAACACATGGAAGCTGTGCTCCTGATCTGACGACGAGCTGAACACGTATAGCTGAACTCACTTGCTTTCAGCTCCCCTGCCAAGAGTTTAACTGAGAGTGGTTTAATGGAAATCCAAGCAAAATGCGCCAAAGTGAAGAAATCTAGCAAAAACTGAGTGGCATCACGGCGCCACTCGACAGCCACAGGCGGGGAAGTCCTTCCCCGCCTCGAGCTCACGCACGCGGTGGGACAAGGATGCCTGCAACGGCGGCGCTGGGCGCCGATGGAGGCTGAGGGCTTCAGAGTTGGAAGGGCTACAAAGGGAATGAAGTGGCTTCAATACTAGGAACCTTGAAAAAAAGAGGAGACCACACGACTTCAAATGGGAAACCAGCTGTCTGAAGAGGTGACCCAAGTTTGGCACATCGGCGATTCCGGAAAAAGACCCGGGAAAGTCCACTGAACCCTGACGGGGCCAGGTCACCTGTACCCAGACTGTCAGGGAATGGAGCTTTTGAGCGGCCTCGTGAGCGGTTGAGTCGGACTTGCCCTTCAAGAGGTCAGACACGAACTGCTCGGCCTCAAAACCACAGCACGTACAGAACATCTTGCAATGGAATCAAAGCACCCTTGAAGGAAAGCGTACCGAGAAAATGGCCTGAAGGCTCTCTAATGGCGGGGCCTAGCGACAACTGTGGCAATTCACGCCTTCGCATTCTTCTGCACTTCCTGCGACTGCACCTTCCCAGCTCCCCCCCAAGAGCTGGCTACTGGCTGTGATTCAAAACCCCGGTGCCCCCCTACCCACCAGATTTCCATTTACAATGGATCGAACAAACGGGGGGGTTACAACAAGGTTATCTGCACACCCAACTGATGAACATGTCCGTTCAAGCTCAGTGGCAATGCAGCCAGCTGAAGAAGTTGTCGCGATTTGCTTGCCTCTGTTCTCTGTTGCAGTGATGTCCGGCGTCCGGTTTCAGACCGTGAGACCCCTGCTATGACATTGGCCAGCCTGCTCTTCAATGGCAGTCTGAACAGACTGGAGTGCAGCCTTCCTGCACAAATGGCAGGCAGGAGGCACCCGATGTTTGCCTGCAAATTCTTCGAATCGTCATTTCCCTTGGATGGCAACCGCAAAATAAGCTCCCCCAAAGAAAGAAACTGCACCCAGGCCCACTTCATCAAGCCCTCCAAGAACGGCGCGCATCGGGCGTGCCGAATCTTGCTGTCCTCGCATCTTCAAGCTGCTCTTCAGTCAAGCCGCCCAAGCTATCCTGGACCTCCTGCGCCCACAAACGGCCCGAGGGAGCGGCCCTGAACGACTTTGAAATGCCGGGATTACAGTACGGCACCGTGTCCGTGCTCTCGAGGCCGACATCCTTTCGCAAAGGGAAGCTACATATTTTCGAGTCGAACAGCCTTCGAAGTGGGGGTTTGCATCGTCGCTGATCTCCTCCTCACAAAACTCAATACAACAAAGGATGGTTCACTCTGCACATGCAACAAACCATACAGAATCATTGCAGCGCAGTTCACAGCTCAATGGAAAGCGCGGAACACAGTATAGCATACGTCTACAGAATGTAAAAACACATTCAGGATGCAGAATGCAGCATTCAAAATACAGCATTCAAATACAGCAAAGCCCGAGATAGGAATCCCTTAGACCTTGAACCGCGCTCTGGCAAGCACATGCCTACTATCTAAATCAGTCTCAAGCCTCTTACGAAACGGCTTCATCTTGCACTCAGGAGAGAAAGGCTCTCGTGCACTCTTCAGTTTCAGCCAGATGTAGAGCGTACATGCTGGAGAAATGGCGTTTGGCACCACGAGAGCTTCGTTGCACGGGAGGCCGCGTATGAGGAGACTTTGTTGTGCCGAAGTTGTTAGCAGGCTGCGTTGGGCAAGAGTTGTTTGTTGCAAAAGAGGCTGTATGTAACAAGACGCTTGGACACAAAACAGCATCATACGATGTGCCAAGCCGGCTTCGGCTGGAACGAGCAAGGCCTTTGCAAAAAACCAGCGGCACCAGGACCTGCGGGGTCATTGGGCGTTCTTGCCCACACATCCTCCAGCATCACCAGCTTGTGCGACAACAGCTATGCGCACGCGCGCTGGAGATGGCCGGGATACGGTACAGCATTTGCAGAAAATGTACAAATGAGAGGCTCTGTCATTCATTGTTGCATTCAATGAAGAAACTAATGCAGCACTCAATCCTTTACAATCCATAGTGCAGTTCAGTACATGGTACCGCACAACACAAGCCTCATAATATTGAACAAGATACCGCTACCATAGCATGCAATACCACACAAAGAATAATACAGCGCCATTCCTCACTCAAACGTTCATTCAGTTTGCCAAATAGGTAAGCAAGCAAGCAAGCAAGCAAGCAAGCAAGCAAGCAAGCAAGCAAGCAAGCAAGCAAGCAAGCAAGCAAGCAAGCAAGCAAGCAAGCAAGCAAGCAAGCAAGCAAGCAAGCAAGCAAGCAAGCAAGCAAGCAAGCAAGCAAGCAAGCAAGCAAGCAAGCAAGCAAGCAAGCAAGCAAGCAAGCAAGCAAGCAAGCAAGCAAGCAAGCAAGCAAGCAAGCAAGCAAGCAAGCAAGCAAGCAAGCAAGCAAGCAAGCAAGCAAGCAAGCAAGCAAGCAAGCAACAAGGCAAGAAAGCATGCACGCATGCAACAAAAACCAAAAACATGATGCACAAAACAGAGCCAAAACGTACAAACAAACAAAAAAGCAAACAAACAACAGCACCCACAAACAAGCGCATGTCTATACTATATCAAAGACGAATTGACCAGATCGAGATACGCAAACAAACATCTAAAGCTATCACAAACCATCCAAAACACATCCAAGCAAACACCCAAACAACCGCAAAACCATTCAGCAAACAGAACGCGTCAACAAGCCTAAACACAGGAACGCAAAACAACCAAACATACATCAACCCAAAAGAAGCAGCAGAACAGACACAAAGAAACCACCAAAAACCCACCAAAAACCCACCGAAAACCCCAACAAACCACCACAACCCCGAAGAAAGTGGCAAAAACGTCTTGGTCCTGCGCGGCCTGCATGGCCACTTGTCGCGCTCCAGCAGCCAGCGCCTGGATCTGCACGGACTGGGCGTCCTCGCGACTCGTGGGCTCGTGGGCTCGTGGGCTCGTGGGCTCGTGGGCTGGCACAGCTACCCAGCAAAAGGAGAACCAGGCGGTCAAATCCAAATCCAAACCGATCCAAACCAAGTATCAGCTTCCAGCTAGGTTTAGGAGGGGTACCACCAAGCCAAACCACCAACTAAGGGTTCCCTGAAAGAAAGGGGTGCCTGATTGATTCAAATTGTCTACACACAAGTGAAAGTAGATGACACTGTTCCCTTGCCCATAAGGGTGATAAAATCTCAATGGGTGTGTGTGTGTGTGTCATAGGGGAAATGGTGTCCCTTCAAACCGAACTGGAAAGGCTTCCCTCAAAAACACACGCAAAGTAGTGGGTGTCCACTTAACCGAGGGGTCCGAAAAAATGTCCCTTGGGTTCGAGGCCTTGTCATAGACTATGGTCAAAGTGGCTGGAGGGGTCTTGCCAAAATGAGTGGCTTCCATTAGACTGTCCCCTATTCTCGAGGAAACAAACGTGCCCTCAAAAAAAGACACACCCATTCAAAAATATGCTCTTGAAAAGGAGGGCGGGAGGAGTTGTGGAATTAATGTTGGGCTTCACATGTGGAAAACCTCTGATCAGGTTCTTGAAACATCATCATTTTGCCCCGCCCTGATTTGCCCCAACAGATTCGCTTAAGATGAATAATGTTGACCCCATACTAATCAACGCCACTTTATTAATAGGGGGGGTGTCCCTGGGTTTAGGGAATCATCACTTTTGGAGGGGAACACCCCCCCCTATTCATAAACTGGGGTTGATTAATGTGGGGTCAACAATAATTGCCCTGAATTGCGACAGCATCAATCTGCCAATGTCTCCTGGAGATACAGCGGTTTGGCTCTGCCGAAAGGTTCTCGGTTGTTGTCAGTTGATTCCAATGAAACCAGCACCTGATGACTTCACCCGAGTATGTGGAACATGGTTGCTGCCTGCGTTGTCCTCCATTTCGGGACCCCCCACGGTGGATAGGGAACATCAAACCTTTTTACGTTTATGGTGAGTACCAGTCAGCTACTGGACCCGCCCCATTTCCCGCGTACGCTATTCTGATGGTTACTCACTCTGGCTTCATACCAGGATCAAAGTCACCCGGCGCTAGGTTGAAGGGAAACCACCAACCAGTGTCTGACTTTGCTACCCCAGAACCAAAATGGCCCTGGGTCAAAATCCCGCACCCCCAATAAACACCCCAATCCCCAGCAAAATAGGTTCTAAAACGGGTGGTGCACCGAAACCCAAAAAATGGGATCCCATTGGTTTTTCACGATCGCCACCGGGACCTGAAGCCGTCCTGGCTGGGCTCCGAATCCTCCGAGTGGTCTTCACCGAGGTCGATGAGAGACACCGCCTCGATTTCGAGGGGGAAAGGAAGGAAAGCGCCGCTGTGGCTGCAACCCACCATGTGGGTGTGGCTCAAAATTAAACCTCAGGGGTTACGCAGGCTTTGGTCTATGTCTCCACTTACCAGGGCACCCCATTTTGGTATTCCCGTTTTTTGAGCCCCAGCCATATCGCACGTAAAGCAACCAAAAGACATACGTTGCGGGGCTCCTCTTGTCGCCTGCTTGCAAAAGACTGCATCCAAGGTATCAGCCACAATCAGTGCCACCACTGCCAAGGCCACGCAGTACAACACAAAGACCAAGTGGCAAAGCGACAGCAATGTTTGCAAGGCTTGCATAGGATGTTTATCTGAACTTTCGAACATGCCACCAAACAACGTCTGCCAAGGCAGCAAACTGAGCAGCAGAATGTCTGCGGAATGACAAGGTTACCAGGGTCACCAACCAGTCCACCCGGTGGGTACCGGCCACAATGGTTCTTGTAAGCCATGTTATCATGGCCATGGGTCAAAAGCCAAATCATACCCCCAGTGAACATCCCAATCCCCACCAACATAGGTTCTAAAATGGGTGGTGCACCGAAAACCCCAAAATGGGATCCCATTGGTTTTGACAACCACAGCCACATGGCTGTTGCAGCTCTCGTTGACCGTGCGTGGCTCGGTCAGAGCCTGCGGTTGCTTTGTGTGCTTCTTCGCGGAGCGCTTCCTGGCCCGACGGACGCCCAACAGATACGGGAGGTGCTGCAACTTTTTTCTGTCTCCAGCAGGCGTTGCACAGGAGAGAGAGAGAGAGAGAGAGAGAGAGAGAGAGAGAGAGAGAGAGAGAGAGAGAGAGAGAGAGAGAGAGAGAGAGAGAGACAGAGAGAGAGAGAGAGAGCGAGGGAGGGAGGGAGGGAGGGAGGGAGGGAGGGAGAGAGACACAGAAAAACAGAGTCTGAGATACACAGAGAAAGATAGAGAGAGAGACATATATATATATATACAAAGGAGAAAAAAACAAAGGAAGACACATAAAAGAAGGAGACAGAGATAGAGTGAGAGACTGCGACCAATTGAAGGCAGCCGAGCAGCTTCTCAGTTGTCTTGCGGTCCTCCGCCTGAGCTTCGAGCCACGCTTCATGTTGGATCAGCTCCATCTGAGCATGTCGTAATGTACGTGTGTGTGTGTCTCTTCAATTATTTATTTATTCATCTATCTATCAATTTATTAATCTAATGATTTGTATTTATTTAGTTACTTATTTATTTGTTCATTTATTTATTCGTTATGTGTATAGACGTATATATTGGAGGGAGAGGCCTCCCTTTTGTTCCGTATTTCAAAAAACAACCCGAGGGGGGTACCCTGCGACAAAGACCACGCTCTGAGGCTCTGAGCCCTGAACCTCAGCCAAAGAAAGTGGGCCCCCGGTGGCCATTTCTGGTGACCATGTGGTTTTTTTCCCAGGCGCCCAGGTGTTTCTGTACTGCACTGGCAACACCTTGGGTTGTCCAACTCAGAGCGGATGGATCTTTAAGCAGACATCGCCATCGTTGCTAAAATGGCAAGCTGGTGCACTGCAGGTGTTCCGGCCCCCGCGCGCCTCCGTTGGCCCTTGCCTCGCACAAACGTGGCCCATAGCGCCCGCCCCGATTCCGCTGCAACCCCTTGCATGATGGCCCAAAGGGTGCAGGGTAAAGACCATCCGCGCCAACTTCAACGACATGGCCTAAACTGGCCTGTTTTGCACAAGCATTCAGAAGCCGGCCTCGGTCGGATTCCCTCCAGCTCCTGCACCAGTCAATCACATTGGGCGTCGGCTGTAAAGAGTCTGAAATCGGACATACAGCTGGTTGGAGCATCGAACACCAAAGACTGCTCTGTTGCTGAGCCGCGAGTTGTTGCTGTCGGTGCGGTTGCCTTGTCAAGGCCTCAGGCTTGCGCTGTCCTGCTCGAGCTTCCTCAGCTCCTCAATGTCATCCCGCAAGCGTTGCTCGGCCTCCTGGCAAGGACCAGAAGCCGGCCTCAATGCCATCAGCTATGAAAAGCCAGCTTAGTATCGGTGAATCCAATGGGCGTTTGTATATATTATAATACATATATATATATATATGTATGCAGTGTGCTGATGTGTTGCCTCTTCAGTGCCCCTGATTGGCCTTTGCGTGGCATCAGCCAGCGTCAAGCCGATTCGGGCACGAAGACGGCGGAATGAAACTGAGTTAATCGAGCTGCGAAGACATTGGTAGGCGATGCCGTTACTTGGCTCACCCAGCAGTGGAGATCAATGCTGCTTGGCACGGCATACAGTGGCAGGTATCATGGGATCCTAGATCTCGAAATTGTGACGGATTCATGTTGCAGTGAGCATCTTGTTAGACGGCAAGACTCCTGCCCAGCCCACACCAATCAGAAGCAGGTATGGCAGTGGGTCAAAATCCCATACCCCCAGTGAACATCCCAATCCCCACCAAAATAGACTAAAATGAGTGGTGCACCTGCCCAAAATGGGATCCGATTGGTTTTGACCCACAGCCCACACCAACACATTTCTGACCTCTCTGACTGACTGGAGCTCTCCAAGAGCAGCCCGTTGGATCAATGCGTTGGTTGTTCGCCCGCACTCCCCCCCGGTTTTTATGCGGAGACCCAGTTCGCCCGGGGTTCGATTTCAGTCCCGTTAGGTCCGACCAACGCTAACGCTACACCTCGATGCTTTTCAGAGATCCCCGTACTGCGCTCCTCAAAGCTGCTCAACTCAGCCTGGCGGCCCTGGCGGAGATTTCGGTCAATCTTGTTGCGAAGCCGTGGAAGGTTTGATCACCAGTTGGAAAACCTCTCGTCTTTGGCATGCCTCAAATTTGGAACACCCCATCGGTGCTCACATGCGGATCCTGAACACCTGTATCTTAGACAAAAGGCTTCACTCGTCGATGTGCATATGGGGGACAACAAGGCTGCAAGGTTGATTGAAACATTGATGTGCGAGGCTCAAAAAACGACTGCGCAAAGCATACGCGCGATGCAGCGTGAAAGCAGTCCTTGCCATGTGTTTCTGATGTTCCAAACACACAGGGAAGTGAGATCCGTCGATGCGGAAATGATGCGTGTCATACGCGTCCATGTCAAACCCAATTCATTCGCAACTGTGGTGCCGGAAAACTGTCCGCACAAATTACTTGCCAGGCACTAGGCGCTTGCTATTCCCAAACTTTCATCTCAAAGTTTCGCACCGGTACAGGCATTGGCTGCAACTGGTGCACACACTTGCCGACATGGCCAGGAGAAGTCCATTCTAACAACGGTATATGCATCTGTGCGTTTGCGTTCGTCTGGGCGTGTGTGGCCTGCATGTCTCTGACAAACAACAAGTTGGCCAGAAAATCCGTTACATTGAAATGTTGCGACTCTACATTGGGAAAAAAAAAAAAAAGATGATGTCAATGCAAGTCCCATATGACGAGAACCAGCACCCCTAGAGAACGGATGTGCACTTGAATGAATCTGCTGGGTCCTCCGCATCCAGCGTAACCCTGCAGAATGTCATTAAGTTGCTGACCGTGAGTGCTGTGCTGCTTGTGACGTCTTTTTGTTGTGCTCCATACTAGTCTGCTGTGGCGTGTGGCTTGTCTGTGTGTGTATGTGTCATGGTGCGCTCTTGTTATAGCTCGACACGCGCTATTGTTTGTGCGCGTGTGCTTGAGATTGCTGGCTGCAGCTTTGGTCTAAGCGTGCGCAAAGGACCCAAGTTCGAACATCCCAGACTTCAACTCCCAGATTGGATCGCATTCAGTGGCCAGCCCGGGCATGAACAAGGGGGAGAGTGCCAGCATGGTTTCATTTTGGGCGTTGCATTTCCTCAGCTCCACTCTTCATCTTAGATCAGCAATGAAGTAGGGCTCCCAGTATTCCCAAGCTTGTAACAGGAGGAAGCAGAGTCTCCAAATCCGCCAAGGGAAAGAACAGAAACACCAGAAGTGTTAAAACTGTAGGGAGCCCTATGCCAGCTCTCCATCAAGGCGAGCCTCTTGGAACTCTACGGTTTCGTCCTGGCCCACCTTCTGCAGACGTCCTGGCCAGCGGGGTCCCCAAATAAATGACGCAGCTCAGCGGGAAACTCTCCAGGAAATATCACATCATGGGAAGAACCCTTGAATGCAAATATAGCCCAAACATGGTACCCTGTCCAATCAACCTGCGTTTCGAATCACGCCAAAAACAGGGCGCGTGCGCGCGTGCCCCCCTTTGGCAACAAGTGACGCAGTTTCGGCTGGGCAGCCAGTACCTTTCTGACGGAAGCTGAAATCGTTTTCGGGCGGGCTTCTGTTTGCACTTCAGCGGGACTGAGCAAACCTCGCCAGCTTCCCAAGGGCGCTTGCTACAAAAGTTACGAGCCGCCGGACCGCCCAAGCCCGCGCCAGTGCTGATTTCAGCGTCTTAGCTACGTCCGTGCAATCACCGCAAGCGGATACGCTGACAAAGCCACATCCCTGTGCAAGAATCGTTCCCTCATCCTGTGTATCCCAAACAAGAACCCAAGCGTCATCGAGGATTTTAACAACACCAACATGGATGGATGGATGGATGGATGGATGGATGGATGGATGGATGGATGGATGGATGGATGGATGGATGGATGGATGGATGGATGGATGGATGGATGGATGGATGGATGGATGGATGGATGGATGGATGGATGGATGGATGGATGGCTGGCTGGATGGATGCATGCATGCATGGATGGATGGATGGATGGATGGATGGATGCATGCATGCATGGATGCATGGATGCATGGATGCATGGATGCATGGATGCATGGATGCATGGATGCATGGATGCATGGATGGACGGATGGACGGATGGACGGATGGATGGATGGATGCAGCGACCTAGGGTGCACGGCCTCACGGCATGGTCCCTCCCATCGTCGTCATCCCTCCGCTAACTTCATTGGGGTGACTCCGGCTGGAGTTCAACAAGCCAGCGCCGACAGCAGTGCACCCTAGGCCCGCCACCCGCACCAACCCAGGACAATGATTGCCCAAGGCTGGCCGGCAGGGCAAGACAGCGTCCTCGACATGCAAAGCTGCCCTATTGGCTCTTCCGGCTGGTAGGTAAGGCAAGTGTGGCAATTCTCTGCCGCACTGCCTGGATGCAGCCGGAAACAACACCAACAAGGTTACCCTCAACAACAACTGGGTTGGTTTCCCTTAAAGGCAACCTCAAAAACAACAAAAGTCTCCCAACAAGAAATACAAAAGTTAGGACTTCAAGATATGATTCTTGAACAGGGTGCCTTGCAGCGTTCCCCCCCCAAACATCATCCTACCAAAAGGACGCTCAACCAAAAATCACGTCTCAACAACACACGAGGGAAAAGAACAACGGACCTCTGTTTCCGCTTCAACTTGTTTAAAAGCAAACCACCCAACTGGAGTCTCCCCACTTCGACGACAGGCTGACTGGCCTGAGGCATCGATCTTGACGCTGACGGCTCCCGTGCGCGTTTTCGCGGGACTGGCCTCCGGATCCTCACAGGGTTACTGCCTTTTGAGTTGGAAAAAAAAAAACTGGAAAAGCACCGTTTTGTGGGTCCCCCAAAAAACGACACCCCCAAGTCATCTACTTGTTTGCTGGGTGGGGAATATATCTAGGCTAAAAGGATAAACAGATCACATCGGGCAAGACAGGAATGACTGCCACAAGGCTAGAGAAACAGAACACTTCTGCCAGACGTTGAGAGTAGTCTTGTGTGCTACTCCTGTGCCAGCGTTCACAAATCTGTAAAAGCCCCTGCCCCACACAATGGAAGATACTGGTTCATCAAAGAAAAAGCCCTGCGTAAGGTTTGAGTGGTGCTGTATCATTCATATGAGCCTTGGTGCTAGACTGGCAGCGAACATTCCCTGCGGGTCACACCAAACAATTTGATCAGAACTTTCCTTTGGGTTAGTGAGCCTTGGTCAAGATGAACCGCCTACCACATACGTAAGCTTCGGGTGTGTTGACCATAGGTCCCCTCCTCGGCATCGAGGTCCTCGTCCTGCGCAACGGCTTGGGAAAGGCAGAGCAAGATAAATGAAACTTGGGCATCAAAAGCCTTTGGTGGACAGTGTTTGTACAGGGGTCTGTCTCCACTATTGGAAAGAGCAGCTCCCATCAGACATTGTATTTTTGCACAAGCGAATATTGAGCGCTTCAACCTGTCAGAAGTGGAAAGAGCCAAGAAGCACATGGCTATCTGCCCGGTTGCTGCTTTGCTTCATGGGAAATTTGGATACTTCGCTGTTGAAGGGTGTCCGGCGTAGCAATATCCGCTCACCAGCAGCAAACAGGAAAATAGCGCAGGCACCGGACGCGCTTGCTCTTCTCAAACGTGCGCCCCAGTGGAACAGCGAGGGATGCGACATTGACTGAGTTGGACTCGACCGCCTGCGCATGAGTTTTGCCTGATGCTTGCCAGGAATCCCAGATGCCCGAAGCGGGGCTTGTCGAAGACTGGGGGCTTTGCGCTCGCAAAAGAACAAGCACTGGAAGCTGGATCTCTTTCAGGCAAGCCAGCCTGGGGTTGTGAAGCAGGCATCCGTATTGTCAGGATTCAGCAAGTGCTTTTGAGGCGCATCCAGAAGCGCCTGTCAAAACGCTCTGAACCGGGAGAAGGTATCCATCCCTACAGGAGGATGGTTGTATAGGTTACCAAAAAAGAAACAAAATTGATTGAGCTCATGATCATCGAAGCAGAGTGATCAAACACCTGCAAGTTTTTAAAAATTCCAGAATTGATCAAATCCTAGAAGAAGCACCATTCTTTTTCATCTCCACTGGCATTGACAGTTGATCTTATGTTGCTTCGAAAAACAAACCAAAGGTCCTTCACGGCAGCTCACTAGTGCCTTGTCGTGGGTTATTAGGGGAAAAACTCATGGAACGCAGTCGAGCTTGCAAATCATTCGACCTTGCAACGCGGCCACACGCCGACCTGAAGTGGACCCCCCCTGAAAAAAAACAGGTGAGTCACAATCAAGACCTGGTACAGAAATTTATGGCGAACCCAAAACCATGTAAGGAATCAAGAAGGCGGATATCCGCAACTACTTCCGGCGACTGCCCCTTACTAACCTTCACCTACCCGAATCGGTTTTGAGCACGTGGCTCAGGTGGAAACACCAAGGCGGCCCCGGAGTTTCGAGATCAACCCAAGCCGCCCGGTCCTCGGCCTCAGTCTGTTGGCCTCAGGCGAAGAGGAAAGCCCCGAAAAAGACGTGGGTCAAGAATAGGTACCACAAACGGACCCCTGTTAAATGGAAAGGAGGACTAAAACCTGCGGCCCCCTGGTGGTTGAACAGGAGGGGCAAACCGCAAGTTTTGGTCCATGTTTCCACTCACCCTCACCAGGGCTTCATTTGGGGTACCGATTTGTTGACCCACAGCCACATGCTCAAGCAGCCAGAGGCCTCAGCACACGCTTCATGCTTGCACTACCGTGGATAAACGAAACCCGTTTCACACCACTTTCCATCCATGCGGGACCATTGTTTCTTGGCATTTACAAGAGAATCATCATTCCAGGGTTTCTCAGGTGCTGCAGAATTTGGTCCATACACACTCAGTCAACAGTTGGTGGCGAATTGTCTGGGACCCACTTGCGTCCAAGCCGCCGAAAGCATCTTTTGAGTCTCTGCTGGGACCTGCCTCAGGCAAGACTCGGCTTCCGACGGCTCAACTCTCCTGATTTGGCGCCACAGCAGACGTGTCTCGGAGCTTTCGGCAGCTTCCCCACTGGAAAGTTCGTGATAGAATTGGTCCAGCGTGTTGTCACTGGTGTCAGCTGCTCAAAATGGTCTTGCCAGCAAGTCAATCCGCAGATTCGAGGTCGACTCAAGAACATGTCCAAAAGCTGCCAAAGCGTTTACAACCTGGAAGACTAGGTGCCACTATTTCCTTCAAAGATTCTATGGGACTTGACAAGCGGTTGAGCATGAAATAACCTCCGTAACAGGATGCAACGCGGTCAAGCTGCATTGACCCGGCCCTGCAGTCGAGCTTCCGCTGCCATGACCGTTGATTCCCCCAGGTGCTTGGAGACACCTGGTGGACAGCTTGCAGGCACTGGCGACCCATCTGATTCCCAGCATCAAGGCCCTTCAAGGGTGATGAAAAGACCATCGCGGTTACCCTATGGCTTCACCACGGCCCTCTCATCTCCCGATCGATTGCCTCTCTGCGCAGGCTCCCCATTTCCTGAGCTCCGGGTCTCCCGGCTCGCATCCCCGAACAAACCCGGGGCTTCGCCTTGGCCCAGTGAAAGCTAGGGATTCTCAAGACTCGGAACCCTTCAGGTGCTTGGGCTCCACTTGGGTTCCACTTCACCCGAACAAAGAAAAACGACCCTTTTTGTTGACGCCCCTTTGTTGACGGACGCCGACGGGTGAGATCGTTCCACACTTCCACAAGACGGACGCCCCCCGTTTTGCTTATTGTTTTTTCTTTTCAGCGACCTGCCAACTGCTTCTTTCTTTTTTTTGGCGAGGCGCGGATGATCACTCCGCCGGCTTGCGCAGCTCCAGGCCCCATAGCCTGCGGGGACCCCCCCCCCCCCGAAAACCCGACGCCGAGCTTCTCGTTTTGGAGGCCGCGAGGTGGTTTCAAAGCCCGGAGCACCAAGCAAAATGACACCAAGCAAACCGGAAAACCAGGCAAACTTGAAAGACACCCATCAAGATGGGGAAGTAGAAGCAGAAAGAGTGCGGCTTCCCTGCCTTGACTTTGAAGATGTCTGACTCTGGGGTGGATGGAGCAGCCTGGAACAAGCATCTCTGCATGCACCGAGACAAAACATGTTTCAACTATTCAATTGGGCTGTTTGCTCTTGCTGTCCGCTGCCACTAGCTTCGCTGATGCTGGCGCTCTGGCTGATTTCTGTTGACATTGACACTGGCTCTAAAAATGCGAACCACGATCAACGACAATAACAACAACAGATACGATGAGGAGCAGCATGGCAAGGACAATGATGACAACTATGGGAAGGTGACTGTGCTGGATTGTCACCACAATGCTGAATAATGGTGATATTGAAGCTGTCGACTACTATGACTATGATGCTGAGTCTGGTGATGTGATTGATGCTGTTGACGAGATGGTTTTGCCAACGACGACGGCAATGACGACAATGACTGGCTTGCCTTTGCCTGCGTTGAGTTGAGGGTTGACTTGGGCTCCAAGTCATCCTGCCAGGCCACATTGCAACATGCTGTGGCAATGTGCCTTGCCCTCTACAGCAGTCCAAAGCCCCGACTTTGTTGCACCAAACTCACTTCCGCGACTGGAGCCTCTTCGTCCTCGTCCTCGTCGTCGCTGTCGTCATCCTCTCAGCTTCTTCTCTCCAATTGGTGGTTTGGATTGGTGCTTTGCTGGAGGAGGGGCTTCCCATTCACCCTCTGCAAAAGCTGGGGGCTGAAATCCAAATCCAATCCAAACTTCCGGGCTCGGCCTCAGCCTTCACCTTCGCCTGCACCCAGTGTGTTCAAGGACCAGGACAGACTGTGGGTGGCATGCAAAAGTGGGGACAGACCTGTAGAAGACTCCCTGACTTTGACCAGGTAGAAGGGGCGAGGGTGGGACAAGCCAAGAATGAGCCCTTGCAACTGGATAAAATACCATAGCTCCTGCCTGCTTCGCTTCATCTGACTTCACCTGGCCAGAACCCTGCTTGGATGTACTGGACAGTTGGAAAGTTCTTCAATGAATTGATGGAGCATGATGATCTTGGCAAGATGATCTTGGCAAGCCGCAGGACCCCTGCCTAGTATTCAGGCTCCAACAATCTGGAGATTACCCATGTCACTGTACTAAAGGCCTGTCACACACCTGCCTGCGTGTGCGATGTGTTGCTTTGCCTTGGACCAGCAATGTGCAAAGAAAGAGGCAGCAGGCTGGTGACTCGGGCAAAAGTGGAAGAGCACGACAGAGCACGGAACGACGTCACTCGCGCTTGATACGGCAAGGGCGTGCGCTCGCTCAGTGCTTATGTATATTGAACATGTGCTTTGTGCTACCAATTTCAAGCTCATGAAAGCATGATTAGCCCAAACTTGAGCTGTGGACTTCTGGCTGGCAGCAGTTGAGTTGCTTCCTTGC